GACGTGGCTCATCTACAAAACCAGGGCACCCAGGTGTATTCCAGGGCTTGGGAGCCTCAGCAAGTGACCACCGAGGGCCTCCCAACATGCGGTCTTAGATCCGAGACTAGTCAGTGTGTCATCTGGAGAGCCAGCATTCTGGGGCTTTATTTACTTATTTAAAAAAAATTTTTTGAGTCAAGGTCTTACTCTGTCACCCAGGCTGGAGTGCAGTGGCACTATCGTGGCTCACAGCAGCCTTGACCTCTGGGCTCAGGAGATCCTTCTGCCACAGCCTCCCGAGGAACTGGAACTACAGGTGTGCATCACCATAACTGACTACTTTTTATATTTTTTTGTAGAGTTGTGGTCTTGCTTGTTGTCCAGGGTGGTCTCAAACTCCTAGTCTCAAGCAATCCTCCTCCTTTGGTCCCCCAAAGTGCTGGGATTGCAGATGTGAGCCACTGTGCCCAGGCCCACAGTTAATACTCTTCAAGGACCTGTCCACCCTCTGTTTGCTCTGTCTTTCCACTTTGTAAACCCACACACCCACCATCCGAGATACCCTGGCCTTTACTACACTAGCATATGTCCTTTCTTTCTTTTCTTTTCTTTTTTTTTTTTAGCTTTAGCTTGTTCTGTAATGTGCTTTTGCCAAATGCCACTCCCCAACACATTTCTCTACACGTGGTGCCCTCTGCATCCCTGTCCTGATGTCCTGTTGTAACAAAGGACCACCTATTGGGCAGCTTAAAACAGCAGAAATTTATCTCTCATAGTCTTGAAGGCCAAAGTCCAAGATCCAAGTGTTGGGAGAGGATCCTTCCTGACTCTTCCAGTTTCTGGGGGCCCCAAGTGCCCTGGCGCGAGAGCCTCACTCCAACTTCTGCTTCTATCCTCACATGGCCTTTTCCATGTCTCTGTGTCCTCTCCTCTTCTTTTAAGGACACCAGTCAATGGATTTAGGGCCCACGTGATCTAGGATGATCTCATCTTAACCTATAGCTACAAAAATCCTATTTCCAGCCGGGTTTGGGGGCTCAGCCTGTAATCCCAGCACTTTGGGAGGCCGAGGTGAGTTGATTGCCAGAGCCCACGGGTTCGAGACCTGCCTGGGCAACTTGGCGAGACCTCATCTCTACAATAAATAAAAAACTAGCTGGGCATGGTAGCGCGCACCTGTAGTTCCAGCTACTCGGAAGCCTGAGGCGGAGGGATCGCTGGAGCCCAGTAGGTCGAGGCTGTGGTGGCCGGGAGCGGTCACTGCACCCCAGTCTGGGCGACAGAGTGAGACTCCAACTCAAACAAAAATAAATAAAAATAATAAATAAATACATAAATAAAAACAAAAATCCTATTTCCAGCTAAGGTCACATTACAAAGTTCTGAATGGACATGAGTTTTGGGGGGTCACTATTCAACCCACGACACCCTCCTTGTTAATAATGATTGCCCAAGAGAAGAAATTCCTCTCACACATACCAGGGGAGTTTCAGGAGAGGCTCCTGCACCACCACCACCCTTTAATGCCCCTCAAAGAACCAACCAAATCTTTTTATTTTGAGAATTTTATTTCAGGAAAATCTATAGGCATTAAAAAATCATGGTGGGGCCGGGCTCGGTGGCTCAGCCTGTAATCCCATGCCTTTGGGAGGCTGAGGTGAGTGGATTGCCTGAGCCCGCGGGTTCGAGATCCCCTGGGCGGCGAGACCTCATCTCTACAATAAATCAAAAAATTAGCCGGGCGTGGTAGCGCATGCCTGTAATTCCGGCTACTCGGAAGGCTGAGGCGGAAGGATCACCAGAGCCCAGCAGGTCGAGGCTCCGGTGGCCGGGAGCAGCCACTGCACTCCACTCTCGGCGACAGAGTGAAATTCCGACTCAAAAAAAAAAAAAAAAAATCATGGTGGGAACCTTCTGGGAGGTTTAACAGGAACCTGTTTCTTTTCTTCCATTTCCAGAACCCTGCATCCCCCACTGTCTCCTTTTGTTTTGTTGGGCCTTCAGTGCCTTCAGTCTCCATCCAGACGACTGTCTGCCTGGCTCTGTCCACACACACCTCCTCATGTATGTTGTCTAAAAAAGCCAACAGTTTTTCTTTTTTTTTTTTTTTTGAGTTGGAATCTCACCGTCACCCAGGCTGGAGTGAAGTGACATGCTCATGGCCACCACAGTCTTGATCTGCTGGGCTCAGGAGATCCTTCTGCCTCAGCCTTCCAAGTAGCTGGAACTACAGGCACGTGTTGCCACGCCCAGCTAATTTTTTTATTTATTGTAGAGATGTGGTCTCGCCAAGTTGCCCAGGCGGGTCTCGAACTCCTGGGCTCAGGCAATCCTCTCACTTCTGCCTCCCAAAGTGCTAGGATTACAGGCATGAGCCACTGTGCCAGGCTTAGTCTTGCTTCTAATGAACGTGACATTTCATGAACAGCATTTCCAAAGTACTACTACTATTATTTTAGATGCATGTCCTTTTTTTTTTTTTGAGTTGGAGTCTCACTCTGTCGCCCAGATGGAGTGCAGT